ATTCTATTGGCAGAGTTAATCGTTGATTAAATTGATCAAAGTTTGTTGTTCGAAGCTACCCTTAACTTTTTTTTTATCTCTGAAATCGATTCTAAATTAAACACAAAGGAAGAGTGTTTTTTGGACCACGTCAAGATCTCTTCAAACTCTGCTATTTTATTCCTCTCGATGGAACTCACAACCCATTGGAATCGTTTATTGTCCAAGCAATTAGGTGCTGAGATTGAGGCATTCTTACATCGCAGATTTACATGGAATATCACGCATAGCTACAGTTCTGCTTCATTTTACCCCGTTATCAATAAACCACCATCACATCAAAAACTACTCGTATATATAATGCATAAAATATGTCAAAGCGATTATTTTATCCCTTTGTATCACATTGAAATCGAGCTCTGTATTAATCACTACATTTTATTTTGACCAAGTATGTAAATAATATTGTTACTTATAAAAAATTGAACAATAAAACTGTAGTTTAAAGTTAATTTAGAAAACTGAGGACATTTAAAAAATGTGTTAAATATTAGAAAGAAGCTACTTCTTACATTCTGTGCTTCTTCTTCTTCCTACGTTAGACTTCTGGCTTGTTACACTTCTCTCAACGATTGTTCATAATGCAATTTAACAATGAAACTGAAAAATAGTGCACAACTAATATTGTAGAATGTGTCAAACTCTAAATTGCGAAACTAAATAATTTAATATAGGAAAAACAATCGCTAACTAAACAAATGAACACCAATAGCACATAATACTAAAATCTATGTTGAGAACGCTAATCGAATAAAAAAGTGATAAACTAATAGAATTGAAAAAATAATCGCAAAATTAATTATCAGAATACTTTGAATAAAGCGAAAGAACTTTTCTACTATTACTATTGTACCAAACTGTACTACTCTAAACTATTGTAAAAGAAAACAGTTGAAAAGAGAAAAACATTTACTTATGGATTATTGTTATTTCTACAATTCAATAATGTACGTTTCAGCTAAATTCTAGCCTTCTTATCGAATATTGAGAGTTGCATTTCATTGATGGATTGGCTAATCTTCATATTTTTCTTCATTCATTTGGCTGCTCGATTGGTGACCTGGATGGTTTCAAGAAATTAAGAATTTGAATATAATATTAATTGTAATATGTTGAATAATAAAAAAAATGGAAAATAAATTGATGTAAAGAGTTATCTCATGAGTCAACGCACAAAGATGTAACAATAATCCATAAGTAATTAGCATTTGAATGTGTATATATAATATAAAAATTGGAGTGTGTTATAATACATCGATAAAATAAAATTAAAGCAGCGATGTTGAGGGTTGCAAGTCTCACAGTGAAATGAAAATTAAATGACTAAATATGTTTGTCATTTGATATAAATGATCAGTAATTAGTCAAAAAATAACGATAACAAGGATTCCTAGTTCCATGTCTGTTTTTAAATTAATGCCATTCTTTTGAAATACAACTCATAAAAATGTATTCGCTGATGAAGGCTTGAAATTAGCCGAACGTCATTTAATTATTATAATATGTATTGGGTTGTTCGGAAAGTTCGTTGCCGATTTTGAAGGAAAATTGAAACGCAGAAGATTTAAATTTTAGTATATATTTATTAAATTATATAGGTTAGTCGGCATTATATATTATTTGGACGAGTTTAGTCATTTATGAGCACCACTTACAGCGCCGATTCCTAATCGCCCAATTTATTCATTATTTAATTATTATTGTCATAAGGAATCTTATTTTTGTAATTTGTTATCTATAGTTTATATTAAAAATTTTTAATGCAGCGCTTATTTTTTTTTACTCCATCATTTTTTTTTACAAAAAATCTGATAAAGAATTATTTCCTTTTTCTAAAAAAAACTATGTTATTTTGTCCTTAGTAGCAAGTAAAGTTAGCAGGAAAATATTAAAAAATAAAAATATATAAA